AAATCTCTTGTAAAAAATCTTCTCGAAAATTTTAGCCAACACTGACACTATTATTATGGGGCGATAATTTTCAAATTCACTTTTTGATCCTTTATTTTTATATAATGGCAAAACTAAGTTTTGATTTAGTTTTTCTGGAAAGTAACCATTTTCAAAAGATTTATTTATCAGATACGATAATGGTTGAGCTAAAATATCAGATATGTGTTTTAAGATTTCAAAATTTAAGAAACTGATGTCTGGAGTGCTGTTTTTTCAAACCTTCTATAGTATTATAGACTTCTAAGGCCGTTGTGTTTTCCAAAAAAAAGTATTAGAAATACTAACATTTGTTTTATGTTGCTCCGAATTGATATTGCCGAATACATCTGGAGTAAAGCCGTTCAAGGACCTATAGTGCTCGGCAAAAATATCACTAAAAGAGCGCTCATCATTTATCATTTTCCCTTTGTAATTCGAATGATCTATTTTAGCCTTATTCTTTGTCCTGGTTACCTGAAAGGGTAACGTCTTAATACTTTTCCAGAAGTCAGAAGGAGATTTAACATTAGAAAACAGAAGACTATAATAGTTTTTCTCTTCATTACGGATATTTTTTCTGATTTGTTTATTCGAGGTCTTTATATCCTCTAAATGTTTGTTTCGTTCTTCGAAAGTCGTGCAATTTTTATTTTTACTGTTTTAAGTAAAGTTTTCTTCTGTTTAATTAATGTGAGCATGTGTTCAGATATAAAATTCTTTAAGAAGTCTTTCCTGCTAGTTTTATTTTTTTTCACATATTCTTTAGTCGGAAGATATTTATCAATAAAAACGAGTAAAATGGTGTATAAATAGTCAGCTAATTGATCAGTTGTCAAACTTGAGGTATAGTAATAATTCCAAGAGAAACAAGACGACAAAGCGTAACGTAAACGGCAAATTGAGGAATTATTTATTCTACGGTAGAGTTCTTTGTTCTTTATCCTCGTATCAAGGTCTTTTTCGGGGGTAAAGACGATGATAGGTAGATGGTCAGATATCAAATTTTGATGTATTAAAAATTGACACGCACTATCGTTTGTTAGACTAAAGTCTATCAAAGAGTGAGTATTTTTTCCGTACCTAGTCGGTTGATTCAAATCAGCCAGAATTGTTAAATTTTCAGCAAAGCAAAGATGTACCAGTTCGGATGTGTCGGAGGAGTTATTTTTAAGTAAATCGATGTTAAAATCTCCAATTATTTGCAATTTATATTTTCCATATTTAGTTGATTTATGTAATAGTATTTCATTTATAACATCCATAAAAATCCTGTAGTTTGTAGATGGAGAACGATAGACTATTACTATCATCAAATTACCTATAACTATCGTAATTATATCTATATAATTTCTTGTAAAAGTTAGATCTGAAACAACTTCGTAATGTTTATCACTATGTATATATATTACAATTCCTCCATGCTGATTAGGTTTTCTTTCTATTTTTTCTAGCCGATAGTCTTTTATATATGGTGGAGGATTTACATCATTTGTCCAAGTTTCGCAAAAAGCTAATACATCAAAGTTGCAGTTATATTCCTCGATTGTTTTAAGTATTTCTAAATATTTATTATTTAAGCCTCTTACGTTGCAATAAAAAACGAATATGCCCTTTTTGGAGAAGTCATCTATCTTTGTATGTGTTAATAATTCAATCATTCCGAAAAATTTTCTCTAAACTGTCCAATGTTGGTATCCGAATTGTTGGAGAAGAAGTATCCTTTTTTAAATACACATTTCCGTTATTCGTCCAAGTGTTTAATATTTTTCCTTGTTTTTTTAACATTCTGGTTTTATAGAAAATATTTCTATAATATGGAGTAAGATGTTCATTTATATATATTCTATATTCCTCATTTATAATATGACACGCATTTGTAGTTATTTTTATCTTCTTCTTTTTAATATTATTTATAATTTTTTGTTTGACAACTGAATTGGCACATTTCACTATAATTGGTTGCGATTTAGTTTTGAATTCTTTTCTTTCGTTATTA